CGTTCTGCGCGCGCGTTGCCTGTTTTTTGCCTGCGCATCACAGCATTTCGCCATGGTTTTATAAGCACTTTGCCCACGGTTTGCAGCAACCACCATGTACACCCACCTACGGTTTACACCAAACATCATGTACACCAAGCCACCGCTTACACCAACCACCGTTAACAACCCTTTACACCAAACCAAGGTTTACACCAACCACAGGTCACATCAAGCCACGGTTTTACCAATCACCGCATGTTATAGGACAAGACCTTGCGTTTTTCCCGCAGCTCTCCCACCTCACCCCTTCTGCCCGCGCACTGTCTATCATACAGACCTCGACAGACCCTCTTGCCACCGACCCTTTTCCTCAACACCTACTTTCGAAATCTTAGAATGGGTTTAAAGTGGCCAGCCCCTGCCGTTCCTTTGCTTTGTGTCTTCCCCTGCCTCCAGTCTAGCTCCCCTTCTCATTTTTTTGCTCACGACACGTTGCTCCTCTGCACACATGCGGCAGCATTCAGCCGTGGAGGCCGGCGGCACACGCCAACGGCGGTTAAATTTTCCTGGACTAAACATGACTAAAAGGTGTGCCATGGGGGTGGGCCATGGGGTAACGGTTCGTGTTGAATGGGGTGAGTCACCATGTGTCGCTAGTGCCTTTTGAAACTTTGACAATGCCCATGTCGAGTGCATCGATAGCGTTTTGGAACTCAGCCAAATCACTCCGCCAACGAAGAACGGCTTTGATTAGATTTGGCTTCGATTCCATCAGGTCGGCAGCGAATGTAGAAGACTTGGAACAAAGAGAAAGGAAGAGAAAAGCAGAGGCAGCCTGAGGCAGCTAGTGGAAACATCAAGTGAGCTAAGAGTAATTAGATGCAAGGCAAGATGCAGGACATGGAAAAACATGAGACAAGCGAGAGTTTTAGAAATTGCCGGTATCACGTGAGCTGAGAGCCGGACCGAAATGTCAGCGTCACCCTCCACAACAAAGCCACCCCCGAAGCTGTTCTTTGCGACAACGTTCTCAATGAGGACTTTGGAGAGCTCACGTAGTCTCCTTGCACACAAGCAGCGGGGTCGATAACAGTGCGCAGCAAGAGATGTGTTGTTTGACACACATTCAAGCACATTGTCATTGTTCACATTGCAAGTTAAAGAAGCAACACAAAGAGGGTCTATTTTCTACAGCCAGAATCTTGGCGCCACAATAATTTCTAATTCTTCTGTCTCAAAGTCAGTGGCAGAACCTGATGCGCCTGTTGAGAGCACAAATGTTGGTTGTCGAATCCCTAGCCGTTTCTATTTTAGAATGGTACCTCCCCAATCTGGTTTGTGTGTGCGTCACGCGTAGTTTTGTAACGAATCCTACTTCAATTGGTATCTTCCTCCTTTGCCATTTGACCGTTGTGCTTTGCTTATCCAGCTTCCCAACAGAACCCTTCTCAGTCTTTTCAAAGTCCACTGGCCGCTAGCCATGTCTCAATGCGCCCTCTCCGTCAAACCCCCGCCAGACTTTCCCGGCTGCAGTGTTCAGCACTCGAAGGCTGGATGAAACCAAACTCCCCGGCTGAGATACGAAGGACTGAGTTTAGCGTATCAGAAGTGGGGCAAGACCAGAGTGCGCATCCAGGGAGTTGTCTTATGTAATAAGACAAATTCCAGTGTTCTGCTGTTCTGGCGTATTGCAGATAGAAACAATCAGCAACATTTCATCATCTTGTGTTCTCTTTTCTGAGTTGGCAGCAAAAACTGACGCCTGGCATGTGCTAGCAACCACCTTGGCCTGTTCTATTTCACCTGGTCGAGTTTCTTTGTCAGTCGTGCACAACCAATGTGGTTTGTGATTCTTCTTGTGCTTAATTAAGTTCGTGCAACAAGTTCATTCAGCCCTCTTTCAATCGGCACCGCCATCTTTGACCCTCCAGCTTCGCTGCAAACATCTTCTGCTAGTTAAAGCCTTCTACTCTTTGCTGGTCGCTAGCCAAGTCTCAATGTGCCCTTTCCGTAAAAGCCACCGCCAGAATCAAACGCTGTAGCATTCAGCACTTGAAGGCTTGATGAAACCAAAATCCTCAGCGCTGACTCGCGACATCAACAATCCGCATCGAAGGACATGCACTGTAGAGTCATACTTGAGTTGATGTCCAAAACATGGTTGAAGGAAGTGGAGTTACTTTTCCATACGTTTCCTTCTATTGATGATTGGTCAACGCCAATCCAAGGGGATTCAGTCATTTTGCCCAAAAGACGTGTCAATTGGGATAACTTTCCAAGCAGAAATGGCAAGTCAAACATAGTCCAAACCACCACCCAATAAACTCTTGCCGCCCAGAATCAAATCCACTGCTGCAAGGCCGCCACCCTTCTTTGCTCCAGTGGTTTTGACCTTGGACTTGCACCGTGCACTCGGCACAGGCGACGTGCCCAGTCCCCTGCAGTCCAAATCGTCCGGTCTACAGGTTGAATGCAAGAGGTATGAGGTGTGGTGTGAGATGGTGTGGTGCGGAGTCCTCAGCCTCAGTTCAAACAGGTAGTCCAAGGAGCTGTGAGATTCGATCTTGTCAAGGTCAATGGCCCTTCGCTGTGAAATGCGCCGCCCGTTTCGATGGAGAGATCTGGAGTTTCATGCCACGCTTCCACTTGAGCATCTTCAAAGACAATGGTCCTAAATTCAACTGAGATCAATAGGTCCACTGCGACTAAATGGCAAACTTGATTCCAACACGGTCTTGCCCATATGCAGTCAAAACAATGTAGTGCAAACCTGCATGCAACATGTTTTTTGCGCCACTCTGTACAAAGGATTCTTCTATTTCACCGCTGTCAAGGATCTCAGCTTCAAGGCGGAGTGAAATCATCTGGATTTGCCTTGGCCGCAATGGCAAGTTGCTCATCCCCCCAGTGCATTTTGTAACATTCCGGCTCGCCATGCCAAACTAAGAACATCTGAGAAGTATCTGCAAAGTGAATGTCTATCAACACGAAGCCTATCGGATGGACTTGGTTGGATTCAAGTCTTGAATTTGGTATCACAGGTTTTGGACAGGCACTATCATTGCACGGTAACTTCACAAGCAGCAAATGGGTTGAAGAAACCATTAAACGCAAACGGCCAGTGAAACGCAACATCTGCGAACAAATTCTCAAAATCAGGCGAAAACAGCAGCGACTGCATCCACTCTCAAAAGTCTGGTTCACATGCACCTGCTAAAAAATGTCAACCTACCAATGTTTTGGTGGCGGTAGGTATTGTTGCGGAATCTCCAAAGACTTTCCAACCATGCCAGCACCAGGAAAATCACACAAAAGTCGCAACTCTGCAAAAGGGCGCAGCCATGGGACCCGGTGATGCGTAGCTCCCCTGGCGTCCCACAGGTGGTCACCACACCCTGTGCTGCTGCGCGCAGCTGTGCCGGCCGCAGCGGAGCATGGGCCGACGCGGGTCCGCGCAGCTGGCAGCGCATCGCAGGCGATGTGCCGGGCCTCGAAAGGGAAAACTGAGAGCAAGAGGACGCTACGAACATAGCTCCTGGCCGTACCGCTAGTAACAAGAAGCTACTATAGTAACAAAGGGTATCGCTACGAACGGAGCGATCGGACGCTACTAAATGAGGCTGAAAGACTTTCCTCGGAAGTTGTCAACAGTGGTAGGTTCATGGCACGACCAAGACTTGTAAGTGACTCTGCTACTCAAGGGAGAAATATGCAGAACAACTGCCCAGAAAGCGTAGAAGTTGATTTTGTAGTGGAATGTAGTCGGAACTATTCGAGGATGGGCAGCCACAAAGACATGATGTTTTGGGTAGAAACGGCCAAGAACGTGGAAGTGTTGGTGGATGAAAGGTTTGCCTTGCGGTTGATTGACATCAATATTTAGTACATCGACATGTCGAAAGAAGTTCTCGTAAATCAAACATTAAATCACTGATGGTGCTGCCATCCTAGCTACTGAAGCACCATCTGTGATAGCTGCAACCGAGACACTGGAGCTGAAAGCAATCACCAGAAATCAACTGACGTTCACAAAGATCTGCCCAGCTGATCGCTTCACAGTCCTTCCAAACAAACGAAAGCATGCAAAATCCAATGAGTGTGGGCTGACTGTTGGCTGTGATATTGGCTAGCTACATCTGAGATGTGAATTGCTATGAATTGTGCAATTTACGCAGGTTTCCTGTAAGAACTTGACACAGGCTTGCCTGAACATCATCCTGATTGCCTGATCTGGGCGCGTGACCTCAAAACTGCGGCCCAAGCTGCGAATCACAGGGATTAGTGTAACGGCACTTCTTGACAATGAGGAGATGAGTGGGGGATGCCGTGTATTAGGATAAATTCTACACAATTGCAGCAATGCATTGTGATTCAAGGGGCATCGCTGATGTCATGTTCACACGTTGGCGAATTCAACGTTTGCAACGATACCGAAGCATTGTCGAGCTGCGAGGCTCGCGCTCGACCCGCAGCTCCGCCGAGACGACGCCGAGAAGTAGTGCGACAGCAAAGACCGCGAGGAGCCACGCCATAGCACGGACTGTGACTGGATGTGGGCAATGATGGGTCCAACAAAAACAAAGATTATTCCTACTATATCATAGTGTATCTGTTCAAGATCCTCCTGTGTCTAGGTTGTGCAAGTGAAGACCGGGTGCTGGGTTTTATACTTGGACGTTTTGCGCCCGATTTGTTTGGGCTGATTTTGCTTGCTTCGTAGTGAGAATGAGCACCGGTTCTTACAAGAAATCAATGTCGCCCTATATTTGCTTGGGAGCTCAACAGCGTTACGCAGCAACACCATTCAAGCGCGTAGAGGTCTGCTCACAACAACGCATTCAGGATGCAAATGAACCCAGGATGCAAATGTCATAGTGATCCTATGGATGGATGCAAATGTCATGTTTACACTGAAAACCACATCTCTGCAAACAAACCTTGGTGGCTTTGCATGAACTGCTTGAACCCATCAAAGATTACGATTCCAGTGAATGTTAACATGTTCCCCAAACCCCGCCTCAAGCAGAGTCCAGCCCTCCACTGGCTTCCAACAGCAGGAGCTCCAGTCGCCGACGGCGGGGGCGCCAGCGGCAGGTGGCCTCCGGGCATAGACGGCGCGCCAGCCTTCCAGGCTGCGCCTGTACCTCGAGCCCACTTTTAGGGCTCTGGTCGTACCTCCTTATAGAAGGTACCACTGGACCCTCCTGGTGCACATCCACCCGAATCCCACCTTCGTTGCACGAAGGTGCGACTGGAGTGGTAGATGGAATGGGTATACCCCCGCTCCAGCAAACATGTTCGGAACGTGGTCATTGTTTCGGGGCCATGCCATCCATGTCACCATCCACGGACGTTGGAGGGAGGTGTCCCCCCGTGCTCCTTTTGATACATGCATGTCAAGGTCTTTCAAAGGGAACGTTTTTTCAAAGGGAGGGTGTACTACGGTGAATTAGAAACACAAGACTGTTTTATACAATTTTCGGGGTGGTTGGAGAAGGATCCATGAGGTATTGAATCGATAAACAATTGTAATGGATAGGTATGAACAAATCGTGATCCAGTTGGACCACGGACGATGTAACGGCCCACCTTGGACGATGTGACGGCTGCTTGGCTGGAAAAAACCAGTGAAATGTATGAGATCCCATCGTTCCAAAGATCCATCTGTGTGATTTCTTGGGGTTATCCGCATGTGTGGAAGATTGGACTATCAGTATCCACCACAGCAGGTTTTGGTTGCAGGCACCTCCATAGACAAGTCTTTGATTCTAATGATCCACCACACAAATCAAGCAACTTCTCCCTCACCTCAACATATGTGGAGAACAATCGGGGAACCCCTAACATGGAACCCCAAAACCACTGGTTTGTAAAGGAAAATTGCCAAAGTCCCACTTGTTCTCCCGCCTTGTCAGGTAAGATAACCTGTGGCAGTTTCAGCTGCGTTCGCCAACCCACCTGAGGAGTGCAGTTGGAGTGCGCATGTCGCGCTCGCAGCGAGAGGATTGCAAGCTTGCGCGGAAGGGGATTCACATCATCAAAACTCTCCATCGACCCGGACCGCCTGATCCCAGGCGCAGCGGAGCTCGCCCTCCGACACGAAGACGTCGCCGGGCGCGGCGCTTTGGGGCGCGGCGGACATGGCTGGTGTCAAGGTGGAGGGGAAGTCCACACCTCAGCGGGGTTTGAAGAAGAAGTGGGGGTTGGGGGTTTGGGGGTTGAGGGAGGTGGTCATTGGGCATCCAAAGGATGTACACCAGTTGTGGTGGGTTCCTCTAAGACTGGAGTGGTGACTGAAGGGATGTGAAGATCAGCGGAAGGTATGGCAAAGTGGCAGCTCCCATGGGGACTGAAATGTGGCCGCACGAAGGTTTGGTGTGTGGTCTGGTCACCAGTTCGAGTCAACAAAATCAACAATCAAAGTTGTTGAACCCGCAAAATTGCTGATTCCCTTTATATACCTTTTTTGTGAGCCCATTGGCACTCCAATTTGGAGCCCAACCCAAGTCGTCACATGGCTGCCATGGCTCCAGTTCGGCGTCTACCAACCACCGTCCGTTCGCCCGTTTTTGCTCCCGTGTCCGGGACGTAGACGTAGACGAACGTGACACCGAGTGGCAAACAGAGCTGCATCCCTGAAAGGAAGAGACGTGAAGCTTCGGCTCGTTCCAATCGATGGCATAGATCCTGCCGATCGGTTCGGATAATTGAGGCGACACCATCCATGTCAACTGCCAACTACAGGGAATTCTTGGAGGAGACCCTCCATCAAGACCAACAACACATGGTTTCGTGGACCATCTCCTGTTTGGTATTCGGAACATGGTCGACCTTCTCTTGGGGCCATGCCATCCACTTCCACCATGAGGACCTGGGAGGGAGGAGATTTCTTTCAAGATACACACAGGAAGAGACCCACATGGAACCGGGCATGGACCAGACTGGAAGACGATGTTCCTCTACAACCCGATGTGGTTCTCAGGTTCTATCTGCTTCCCCAGAGACCTCCGTTTTGGAGTTGTGGGGTGTTCTTGAGCACCGGTGTTCTCGCTGTACTCTTCCATAGTGAACGGCCTATCAACAGTTGGATATTGAATTCTTTGTACTAGTCCGAATCTAAAAAACAATCATTGGATCCCGCAACAGTGGAATATTAAAATAACCCTTCCCTGTATATACTCCACTTCGAATGATTTTTCGGAGTCTTCTTCTTCTGAACTCATTCAGAACTGAGGTCCTTGCCCAAAACCCTTCTGAACTCGAGGGGGTCCCTCCCCCAGTCCGCCGACAGCACCGTCCACAGTCCCGAGGCGGAGGTTCTGCTGGTGTCGGGCGAGAACGTGGAACGAGAAGCCCTGCCTTGGGAGAGGTGTTTTTTTGTGACTAGGTCTAGGCCTAGGTGACTAGTTTTTTCCTTGTGTAGTTTGCTTGATCTGTCTTGATCAGAAGTGTTTTTCTCTTTCTTTATCGATTTAGATCAGACTATTATATAGTATGCTGCGCTTCTAAGTTGTGACTTCTTCACGTCCACCTCACTGGTAGGAAGAAACTGCCACGCGAGCCAACACCGATCGAAGGGAAGGTGCTGGGGTTGACAAGTTCGGTGGCTTCTTGGGAACGACTCGCTCACTGGTTTGGGTGGCAGGTGGCGACTGGGGAGACCTCCAAACAGGTGCCCGTTTGGGACTGGATTGTTTCCACATGATCTCGATATATAAACGTCCCAAACGGCTTTAAGGGTCACCAAGTCAACAAAAATTTGCCATGGCTGGGAATGGGCCCACTGCGCAGTTCCCAACATGGCCTCTCGGGCACAAACACCAACAGTTCCACTGCTGATGTGCAAGAAGACCCCGACTTTTTGAACGCCCAAGTTTGCACTGTGACAATGTTTGTTGAATTTATATATGGCTTTGACACGTTTTTTTCCCCCATTGCGCTTGGCCAACTGGACTGGACCGGCAAGCAAGTTGGCAACCAAAACAAAGACAACAACAACAACAAGAACAAGGTATAAACAAAAACTGCAGCCCCGTTACGACATATTTTTCCTTTGTCTTTACAAGGGGGTGGAAACAACATCTACAGCTCCTTTGACCCCCCCGAACACAACCAGCCAACGAGTACTTTTACCAGCATTGATAGTGTTTGTACCAATGCTAGTACTAAGTAGTAGTAGTAGTAGTAGTAGTAGCAGGAGTAGGAGTAGTAGTAGTAGTAGTGGTGGTGGTAGTAGTAGTAATCGGTCAGCTAAACTTCTGAAAACTTCTACTTAGTACCTGTACCACATCCTAGAAACAAAAACTGCAGTCCCGTTGTTGTTTTTTGGAGCCTCCCCCTCAAAAGGTGTTGTTGTCCCTACCCCCTCCTAGAAACAAAGACTGCAGCCGCGTTGTTGTTTTTCGGACCCCCTCCAGAACAACACCTCAAAAACACTAAAACCCAGACTTCAGTGAAACAAGTCCAACAAGTCCACCTACTGACGAAACCAACATCCGCTCAAACCTTCAGCCGTATCCCTAACCTTTTCCCCTTGAAGTTCCAAAGTTACAACGTGTGACAATTAAGCGAATTATGTTGGGCGGCTGTTTTGGTTTCTACCAACAGCAACAACAACAACGATGGGGATCACTTGCGCACCACGAGGCTCTAAACTGCTGAAAGAGTTGCCCAAATGAATCAGGCACCAGAGGTCAGAGTCCACAGCCATGATCACTTGCTCACCACGGATCTCCATATTTCTCTTTGACACGCCAGTGGCAGGTGAGGGGGGTGGGGGGGCTAATGGAATCATTTGTGGATGGCTACAAAACCATAGCTTACATCTCTGCCCAACCGAGACTTTTCCGAGCATGCCTAGCCTACACGCACTTGTCTGTGATCTTAGGATTGCCATGGGGGTGGGGGGTGAAAGAGTGACTAGTACGTACGCCGCAGTGACGTATGCAGCGAGTGTCTTTTATCTATGGAGCGATCCCTTGAGCCTTGAGGAAGGCAATAACGTCAGTGTACCCAGTGATAAGGAATTGGCACTGTACAAGACCCGCATTCGTTTCAGCAGGCGCAAATCATAAGTTCACTTCCATCGCAGAGCGCTTAGACGCTTTTTCCTTTCAAGGCGAACTCTCAAGTCCAGAAGTATCAAGGTGCCATATAAATACCTACAAGTCTCATGTGTAATCACAAGTGTTGAGAAGTCTCATAGCTTGAAAGTACAGAAGGGGAGCTATGCCTTACTTACCCTTATGTCGAGAACAGAACAGTTGACACGCGGCTGACTGTACATTCCGCTGGTGAAGATACCATGTATCGGCGCTCAGTTGGTCTGCGCAGCAGGACCATACGATGCTTGAACTCAAAGCTCAGCGGCCTACGCACAAGGACCTAAAGCCGGATAAGCGACCACGCATCACAAGAACTCGAAAGATACAAAGTCCGCGCTTACTGTATCGAATTAAAATACCCTGCAACATGGAAGAAGCAGCAGGCTCGAGTAAAGGTCTTCACGGTAGTGGTCTTGGCCGCAAAACAAAACTATTCAGGTCCAAGAATGGGCGCGCATCAAAAGGACTCTTCTTCCAAAAGCAAAAGCACGCAAACCCACGAGGCTCAGAAAGAGATACCGGGAAGTGACTGCACACGAACGAATCAATGCACTACACCCGCAGTGGATCTTCATAATCGTCTTCCCTGATGGAAAGTTCATTAGAGGAACATCCAACACTAGCAGCTCTGCAAATGAAATGAGTCTTCAAATTTCTGAAAAGAAGTACGCTGTACAGAAGATTCAAATCACCAGCTCTACACGGCAATGAGTCTTCATAATCATCTTCTCTGAAAGGAAGTTATCACATCAAGCACTCACGTTCTGATCCGGCACGCTCTTCTTGGCAACCCGATCAACCACCTCCTTCAGAAAATCCTCTCTCAGGGCCATAGACCGTGATATCTGCAATGCCCAGCAGGTGAGCAGCTTCTCGAGGGTGCAAGTAGCGCTGTCGGCCCATACCGTCGGTGACATAGTAACCCCGTAAGCCCTTATCCTCCAAAGAGCGTTGGCTGAAAGCCGAACTGCGACAACCACAAGGGCAAGCTTGGAGGGCAACTGAGTAAGAATGCAAGAGCGTGTTGGCGATGTCTTGGGGGGCGTAGTTGTCTTGGATCAGAGCCATAATCTTTGTTTGCATAAGCATCCAGTTCATCTTGACGAAGTGAGAGCTGGAGATGCTCATGAGCTTCAAGACATTGCCAATGGGACATCACATCACGAATGCACCGATAGGGTGAGTGCATGGGCCAGGGCTTCAAATCATCAAGACCCCATGTATCAGGCACCAGCAATGCCCACCATCTGCGTCTCCTCATGGGCCATTGGTCTTTGGGAGATCTTCTTGCCAACCACACACTCCATCAACAAGCCATGCGAGTCTTTCTCCACAGCAGGCTTCTTGAAAGTTCTCGCAGGCTGCCGGGCGGCTTTGACCATTGCCCTTGCTCACCCTGAGGTGCTCAAATTGTTCCTTGAAGCTCCAATGCTTTGGTACAAGAATATCTAACATTGTAGAATAGCTCTTGTTTCTTTTGTCGAAGCAGCCGATACCTGCTGGTTGCGTGAAAGCCACGAAGTCAAAACCCTGCTTTGCCTGAACCAGTGTCGACTCAGTGATAACAAAAAACCTGTGTCTCCATCTACCCAAGACCCCTCCCGAATCGCTTGCGCACCGCAAAATTGGATCGCAGGCATACTGGCATACTGCAGTGCACAAGCGATCCAATTCCGCGGTGCACTTTTGAGCCGCCAACCCAACCCAACCCAACCCAACCCAACCCAACCCAACCCAACAACAACAACAACAACAACAACAACAACAATTGACCTGGTTTTGTAGTGTAAAATCCTTACTAAAACAATACTTCGGGATTCAGCCTATTAATGGTGGGCCAGGGCCAGGAAGCCTAGGGAGAGCTTAAGCGAACGCGTCAGGAGTCTCTCTCTCCCACCCTCCAATTCGGACTTCGGTCGGTTCAGGCCCCCGCAGGTGTTCCGTGGGTGTTCCGCGGTCGTGCCCGGGCCTGATGACCTCTTCGAAGAACTCGTTCGTGGTCTGCAGCCTGACGTGCTGAGGCATTCGTCTCGTGGGGGCGCTCCGACGCTGATACTGGGACGTTGGAAGCATGTCCCGATCCTGGGAGAACTTCACCAGGCTAGCCGCCTTGGCCTTGCAAACCAGGCTCGTAGTGTGCTTGGTGCGTTTTGGGAGGCAACCTTTTGCACCAAACTGAAGCTGACCCGAAGTTGAACCGGTCAACCACTCGGTGAACCATTTCGGGATTTGAAGGTCTTCTGGATTCGGAAGAGGCTCCTGGCATTTACACTCCCTGCAACTAACATGGGTACGTGGATGGCATGGCCCCGTAAGTAAGGCCATTTTCCTCCAAAAACCGGGAGCTTTCCACTTCCATGTTAGTTCCAGAGTCGACCTCTGGAATTTTTGCACAAGCAGTCGTTGGACGTCCTTTTGTCGCTTCGCTTGGGGTCCTACGTCGCCGCCGATCTCCAGTCACCACTAATGTTCCGTGGCATGAAAACGTCTGAACAAAATCTTGAGAACCTCCACACAATATATGACACAAAGTAACACTGTAATATTGATACTGTCCACTATAACATGGTGGTGGAAGTGGGACCACGCCCCCCTGATGTGTTTATGAAACATCTCGGTCTCGGTCTCTTCAGAGGAGATCAGTACCATCTCCATTGAGAATCTGATCTACTTGGTACCTCAAGAAGACTTACTGAGCTTCCAACTCTGCATCGTGGTGTGCCATCAAAAGCCTTGCACGGCCATGGTGTGAACATTGACGTCGTTTGCCCGGCCGGTTCAAAGGGATGTTAATCGATGTTCATCCTGCTTGAGATGGAAGAAATGTACAAAAACCCTCTGGAATACACCATATATAGGTTAACCTTGGGGTACCAAATGATTTAAGTCCTTTACACTACCAACATTCAAGAGAATTGAATCTCAATGATTTTGGACATGGATTGGTGGTTTGCAGATTTTGTGCGCAACAGTCTCGCAACTCCTCACCATGCAGCCCCCACGTCCAGGTGGCAAACTTTATGGCCGGCGCCAGTGTCAAACGTCGGAGCTTAGCATTCCTATCCAGTAAGGAAAGCACCTACTGCACAATGGATTAACCAATTTCTGGGCCTCCAAAAAGCACATCCACTCCCCCAAGAGCATGTCCCATCGACTTGCTGTGGTTTCTTCCACTTGCTCGGTCCAAATGAGCTGCTAGGCTGAGCGTGCTCGGTTCACATTACATGAAGCGACGTGATGAGCTCGGACGTGTTCACACCGTCCGCGTGATTCCGAAACAGGTTCCGCGTCGTTCTTTTTTTTGCCCCGCCAGAACCATGACAAACACAAGATGTTTTGCTGTTTCTCCAGTTTCCTCCAGCGATTTTCTGTTTCTGGCCGTTTCGATCTCCTTCCCCCCCAAATGATCTACGCAGCAGCAGCACGTGTTTCACGTGCGCGGATGCAGCACCCAAGCACGCCCGAACGATGAGGTCAAAGGGAACCGAACGATGAGGTCAAACGACGTGATGAGTTCAACGCTTTTGCAGTTGACAGTTCTTCCATGTCCGGTTTTGCACAGCGCAGCAGCCGCAGTCACGTTCCTGTCACTCATGAATCTGCACTGACAACACAGCCACAAGTACGAATTGATATCCAACTGTGGCACGTGCACATACTCAGTTTCAATCACACACAAAAACAATAAAACATGGAAATTCAACCGCGTCCTGCCAATATTGCGCTAGCAACAATAAACGATTCTATTCTATTCTTCCAACACCTCCCACCATCTCATCACAACGTCCCCACCACCACGGTCCCATCGCACGCTTCCGCTTGCCTGGTGCGGAAGTGCTTGCGCCGCAAGGCCAAGGACTTCACGAACGACACCTGCGGAGCTGGACGGACGACTCGGGGTCACCGGGCCACCGGATGGTCTGGCGGGGTCTGGCGTTGATTCGGACGTGTGGGCGCCATCAACCATCATGGTTGTTTACTAAAAGGAGGAGGGAGCTACACTGACGCAAAAAAACCTAAGTGGGGTCTCCCAAAGAAACACGTCTTAGAGAGCTCTGGTGGAATGTCATTTTCTTCACAAATGTTTGGGGTTGATGGTTTGACTGTGTGTTGGCTACATGACAACAATCTCCATTTTGAAGATCTGTTGGATGCTGAATTGCTGGTCATGTGATATTGCTTCATCATGCTTCACACTCGAACTCTCCATCTTCCAGCGTCGGAAGAAGCATGGCATCGATGTTGCTCGCTTTCGAAAACGCCACCTTCTCTTGGAATGAAACCTTAGGCTTCAGCCTCTCATGAGAGAAGATATCTTGATCGCATTGAGACTTGATGAGACTGGCATATGACTCCCGATCAAAGCAGTTGGGGAGGTGGTTTTGGGGGTCAATGGGGCAGAATCATGCAGAATCTATATCCCGATAGGGCTCCAGTCGTACCGAACCTCAGCTTCGGTACGACTGGACCCTCCTGGCACCGTAAATAAAGCCTCCAATCACCCAACCTGGAGGTTCGGCGCGACTGGAGCCCCAAAAAGGGATATGCCATACATGGAGTCTTTGGGTCATGGATCTTTCGCTGCGTGTTGAATTCGCAGATCGCGTCCACATGCGTCTGCCGACGCCCGGCGTTGGGTCGACGCCTCCACCAGGCCAACGTTCAGCAGTAGGAGCCCAGGCCTTGGTCGACGTCGACACGTCGGGGCCTGGACCGATGAAGCACGATGAGATGCGATGAGTAGATGAAGAAAAAACGCGTACAGGTGGCACAAGAGTAGGGACAACCGGTCGGATGTTCGACCACGTTACGTTTATTTTTTCCAGGTGGTGCCATGGGAGAAGGTGATGTCTTCTCCATTCAGTATGGACGTTCTCCATTTCCCTGCCTGTGATTCAAGGGTTCTCCATGGCTCTCCATATCTTTTCGAAGGCCCACGTGCTGCCCAAGATCCGTTCGGATCCTCCGATCAGAAGATCTCGTTTTTCCCCCCGGCTCGTTCGTCCAACATGATTCTGGCGGAGCCCACCCCCGAAAAAAAAAAAAAAACTATATGACCAAACTTATATATACTTGTTTTATACCATTGCAGTCGGGTTCCATTGGTATTTTGGGCAAGTCCTCACAGTCGTCCCTGATACCTTCAGGAATTCAACTCCTATAGCATCAATTTGCGGAACTAAAATACACATATACCAGCACCTTCCAACAGGTCTCGTTTGGAGGGTTGTTAGGCCCTAACAGGTTTCAATTGGCGACCTGTTGGAGGTGCTGGTATACTAATTCTCTAATATATATAGAAAGAAAACATATATCACATATCCACTTCTCCGATCGCGCTCCTCCAAAAAGGGCCGCCCGACGTCGACGTCAGCGCGGTGCCGGCGCGGTCGAGGTCCTCCAGGGCGTGGAGAGGTCGGCGGCCTTCGGACCTCAAAACAAGCGAAGAGCGGAGCAGTGAAAAAACGAGCGAAGCTGGTTGCGGTGGTTGAACAACGAAAGAGAGGTGAAGAATTTGACAGTTGGGATCCTGTGAGATTATGTTGTTCCATTGTAAAACGTGTTTTGGTTGGGTGGGCAATCTCACTCGACGTGCATCGAGACGAGCCCCTTGGGGGTGAAATCCCCACTCGACGGTTCATTGAAATGGAGTGTCCTTCGTATAGCGCAAAATCCCTCTTGCCAGGCTGAAGGGAAATACGGGTCCCACGGGACAAAGGTCCTCTGCCTGACCTGACCCTTTTTTGAAGGCCTAACCTGATCTCCTTGGCGAAATCTTCCGCAGCATCACGCTCATTCTGAAAGGGATCTACGATTCAAGAGAGGTTGTGGGACCTGAATTAGGACCCTGTAGTACGTATGGGATGGGCGAAAATGGGCTGTTCAACCTTTCTAGGATTGCATTCGCAATACCTAAGCAGAGTCTAGGTCGAACAAGAGCTGGAAGGGCCGCAGGCAGACCTCGCCTGGCCCTTCTCCTCAAAGTGGGACATTCTCCTCAAGTGTCCGATCATCTATATACCCATACACTCCATGTATTGAATATGCCTACATTGACCCCCAAACCATCCCAATGTAGGCTAGGCATATATGGCATACATGGAGCGTCTGGGATATGTCTTAGGTACCATTTTGGGCAAGCCCTTCTTCTAAGCTGATCTGCCTCCAGTCTTTGGGCTGTCTGGAAGCACCCTTCCCTGTCGGACTGGAAGAGCAAACTTCCCTGCCCTTGCAATGGCTCTTCATAGAATAGCACTTTTTTCAAGACAAACTGAAACATCTAGACACTGAGCTCTGGTGCAGCACTACGCAAAAAAGTCCATGGTCATTCCAGGAAATGCCAGGAGCTTTCTGACGAGGAAAACACCCAAAGGTGCCTGCTCACGGGCCTGACGGGCCGTGGTTGGTCTGGATCATCGGGGCAAACCTATCTCGTCCGCCTTCTGGGTCAACGACGCCGTTGTGAGCTACGCTACCTCACCATCATCCCAATCTCAAGCAGTTCGCAGAAGCGACCTGATGACATTTTGAGGCTGACTCCCCCACCCACTGTAGGTTCCCCTCCTTGCTCCGGCTGAGTTTGCCTTGAAAGAACAGCCAACAGAACCCTTGGTTGCTGATATTGAGTTGCAGACACGTCGGCAAGCTCAAAATCTCCTCCTGAGTTTCAATATGGCCCGACGTCGCTCGCACAGGTCGCAGTTCCTGTCGAAGTCAACCTCACCCTTGATCACGTCGCCTGTATAGAAAAAAACACCACTCTCTTAGCTGGATTTCTCGCGTTCGCCCCAGTGGATTGGTCACAAATGACCTTTCGGTTTGGACACAGAACGCTCAGTGTGGCGGCACCAATCACAGTCTTGCCGCATCCCAGTGCGAGCAAGCACGCAAACCGATTCGTTGTTCAACTGAACGGTGGAGCAATACACCGGCTCTTCCATAAGAGTCTCCAATACACCTTAAAGAAAGGGGGCCCTCAATAAAGGAGTCTGACTTTTCGACAAGACACCTACAATAAAATAAAACACCTTAAATGTTGGAAACTCTAGACTAGACTCCTTAAATTTGCCTTTGAATTTGTGGGGAAACCCTTTGAGGATACAGTAAGCATGAGTTGCAGTAGCTTTGTAAGGTTTTGGGCTCGAGAGTGGACCCAGCCTTTCTTGCTCCTGGAGGAGCTTGGCCAGAAGCATGTGCAAGGGAGACCTTTTTTAAAGTTTAGGAATCTTACGCGTTTCAAGTCAAATGTGGACATATGTTTCCAAAGCTGTTGCTATGTGATCCTTTGTGCGATGAATAGTTTTTTTTTTTGTAGGATTTGCAGGTTTCATAGGATTCTTTGCACCCTTGTCTGGCTCAAGTTTTGTTTTCCATGTTTCGCCAACTTCTCTCAGGTCTGAATGGTCATTGAAGACTTCAAACCTTTCTTGGAGGCAGTCTTGGAGGAGCCTGGCACGGGGATCTCTGCATGTAGATCCTTCGCAAGATGTGCAGATATAGGATTCTTGTAAGGTCATAGCTCTGTAGGATTAGCATGTCCTTTGTAGGATATCAGCTCATGTGATCCTTTGGAAGGGAAGAATTTGCATACCCAAATTGCCAGAATGTGGCTATATCCTGGAGTTCCTGTGGAGGAATTTGACTTCCTGTTGAGGAAGTGGTAAGCTCAATGGGACTCGTAAGCCTTTCTGTGCCGTTTGCAGGGCTTTCTGCGCTCTGTGCAGGGCTTGCATGGTTGTTTGTTTCCCTTTGCTTAAGGGTTGCAGCAACTGGCTTAAAACTTTTGCCCTTGGAGGCAATACTGGCTTTGAAGCAGATCCGGTTTGGCTGGCTATAATTAATTTGTGGTGGGGGAAGTCCTCTACCACCGCACATATTAATGCTCAAAGGCTAGACACCCACCAGCCCAGCACTCATTCTCGGGGTCGAGGGATTTAAACTTAAACAGGGCCATCACCAACGTATAACACATCGCCCTTTTACTTCGAGGACGCCAGCTCCATCATGCAACGGGCCTGGACTGCTTTCAACGAGCCAAACCTGTGCAATCCCACAGATATCAAGAAGCGAGCTTTCTCAGCTTTGTCGATCACAAGTGGCTCCCATTCGCATGCCATCAGCAACAAAGTTGCATTGACTACAGTTTTGTTCCCATAAAACTCGCCAACTTGTTGGCAGGCGAGACTCAATCAAAAAGCAGTAGCGAGGATCTGCAAAACTGCACATGGATGAACATGGTTGTTCTTCAAAAATGCCAGCCACACAGTTGCAAAGTTGCAAGCGTGTCCATTCGGAGGATTGATGCCCAAAAGCGGCTGATCAAGGCTCGCTCGCTCACACCTCTTCAGTTTGCCAAAAACAGAAATACCCTGAAAATCCAAATCACTGTCGCAAACCTCCTTCTCAACATCTGCTGGATCGGGCGGAGTGATTCCTGCATATTCCTGCTGGAGGCGGGGTCGGGGGGGGCGAGCCACTTGGCTGTGTCTTGCAAAGGCCACGTGGAAAACCATAAGCGTGCTTTGAGTAGATGGCATTTCAGGGAGTAACCCAAAAACTGCAGCTTGCAAAGGCGCAGGCTCGCCACCCCGAAACGATTTCAAGGCACTCTGAAAATTGGCAGAAGCATTTGCCAACGCGCTTTGATCACGTTTGCCAGTGTAAACAACTGCCCAGGCATCACCTAAAATGACTTTCAAGCTTTCATTCACTTCGCCTTCGGCTGACTGCACCGATGCTTTGAAGGCGGTCTTGACATGTCATGAACATGCATCTTGTCGGCCAAGCAAGGTGTTGAAGATTCTTACCTCCAGACTCCAGCCTCTCCTTCAGCAGGGTCATGTGTGTTTCGTTGTTGGTGAAAGCAAAGTAAGGGATCTTGTCACTTCTCCATGAAGGAGTCGCCAAGACCGCATTGTCATTCTGCGCGGTCAAGTCCACAAAGCGCATTCACGGTAGGAGCTGCAAGAGTTGCCATGCCAGCTGACTGGTTCTGGTTCTGTAAGCTTGCCGAGAGCTTCTCAAGGGCTATCAAAAAGCAAAAAAACAGAGTCGGTACTTGTAACCCCTGTCCAAAAGATAGCAGTTACCAGAGCATATACAATCAATCCAAAGAGGTTGGAAATGGTCGACACAAACTGACAACACGGATGCAAGGTTCTATATGGTTAAACACCAGTTTCTAGTTCCAAAGGAGTGAATTGGCATCTCTGTCCTCCAATCACCACCCCAACATGGAACTCCAAATTGGACACTGACCTCCTTAGCTTGGAGAAAGGGCTTTGAGATGGGTTTTAATAGTTATTCAATCGAATCACCACCTGTGTGTTCATCTGCCACTCATCCGACGTCCCGTGCTCCAGCTTCACCAGGAGCCCCCCTTCACCGGGTGCGGCCCTGAGTCACCGGACGGAAACCTCGAAGCCAACTGCTCCAGCAAACCTCGAAGCCAAACTGCCGCGGAATTCTGAAAGACCAACCCCCGCGGGTGGCCGAAGACCCGAATCCAACCGGAAGTCTTTTGGGTTGTGGGCGAGTCCCGGGTTTCTGTGCCACGTGGATTCTTGGCGTTGCTCCTCTTCCCGTTCTGGACGTTTTTCAACGTGCGTTGCTGAGCTCTCTGTCCCACCGAAGCGTTACAGGTGAGTAGGAGTTGGACTGTCCCATGTTTAAATAGAAACTGTCTGTGGGGGGTCAGTTTCTGTTTGGAAACTGCCGATACGTCCGTCCAAGAAACCTGGAGATATTCGATGTTTCAAGTAACACAGGAATAGCTTATAGACCAGTCTTGAGAAAATAGAAATCTTCACCTTCACTTCCTCAGCAAAAGTGCTATTTCTGCTTTCTGACATATTTCCTCAGCAAAATTCTCAGAAACCTTCACTTCTGAATATTCTTCACCTATTGCGCATTTCTGTGAGGCACTGAGGCACTACCCGGTCATGCCTTAAGTCTTCAGTCCTGGTGGCAAAACATCTAAGCATCCAAGAGAGGTTCAGTGACCTTTCAGCTAGCACCCTAGAGGGGTACCCATGGGATGTCGAACTATCCTTTCTTCAACAGAATAGAAGCGCCCAAAAGCAGTATAGAAGTGGCCCTCCTCTAAGAACCATGTTTTCCATGGATCTCTCTATGGCTGGCAACGTCTTTCTTCTACCAAAAATACACTCTGACTCACTAACATGGAAGTGGAAAATGGATGAAAATGGTCCCTTGGAAGACGACTTTCCTTTATACACCGCGGACTTTTCCACTTCCATGTGATGTGAGTCAGTCGTGCTAGGCGTGCTCTAGGCGTTCTCCGAACTGGAAGACCGGACCACAGGTCTTCCGAACCAACCAAACACGGCTTCTTCCAACTCTCCGGTGGCCCATTCGCCGGACAGGCTGCCCGCGGGGCCAAGCCAATGCGCGTCACAGAGCCAAGGGTGCCTGAGGAGGACCCGACGATGACCCGACGGTTTTTGGGAACAGCATCTGACTGAGACGTGGAAGGAACAGGTCGTCTTAAGACGTTTGAAGTCACCATATCATGAGGCCTGGCTTTAAGTTCAAACATGTTCAAACCAAACTAATTCATCATAATAAGATAACTTTGACTGTTCTTGGATTCAATCGTGATGTTAACAATGTCAACGCGTGCATCCCAAAACATAGGACCTGCAAGAGACTGTTGCCGGTTCTGCTTCGAAAGAGACTGTAGCCATCCCGCGCTCATTTGCTCATTTCAAAACCCGAGTCAACAAGAACAGGGCCGGTTGAAAGAAGACGTCATTGTTCTTCCTGACGCTGTAGGTGGGCTACTTCGCCCAAACCTGTGACAAAACTCTTTGTGACATCCATTATTTGTTTTGGACCAACAGTACTAATTGAAAATAAGTGAAATCATGTTCCAGAAGCATCCTGAATGACAGGTGACTGCTGCACTCCTTCTGCATCGCCAGATCATGATCAAATGGGATCTTGTGCCACAATGACATAGACTAAACTCATCGGTCAACAGGAAGCCTCCCTCAATTTTGGAGACTATCAAAAGTAAGGCTGCATGCAGTATCAGTGATTCACCCACGTGCCACTCCGTACCGCCCAAATCGCCCTCCGAACCGCTGAATGCGGAGCAGCGGCTCCGCGAGAAAGTGCGCGAGAAGAGAGGCGGGATCCGGCGCACAATCCTGAGAGTTCGGTTCAAACGCGGCAAGTCGGCCAACGTCTTGCGATGCAAAGCAGTTTCCAGAACGATGCAAGGCAGTCTTGCGATGCAAGAACCGCACAATCCTGAAAGTCCTGCACCTTTTTGGCACGCCTCTCCCATTCCCAGCCAGTCTCCAGGTGGAGCAGACCTCCAGCCTCAGGTGAACCCCCACGGAGATCTCCCCAACTGTTCCCTACCACTGGCCAACAACCCCATGGGGATGGACCGACCCTCTGCTCCATACTCTGCTCCTCTATAGTCGACGCATGCGCCATCCGTCCAACGCCAGCTTCGTCAACACGTCCGCTCCGGGTCTCCGAGCATCGATCAAACACCGGTGGCGCACGCTCCACAACGTAATATCCAGCGCCTCCTGCGCCGGAACAGGGAGGCGCCGGCGGCGAACGGAACTGGTATATAGACCCGAGAAATGGAGTGACAACACACCTATGTGTTGATGACAAACCCATCAAACCCCCTTCAAACACTCAAACAATTTGTAGAGGATGCCATAGGATGCTTTCTACCTCTCTCTCTATACTTGAGAGAGGAGGGGGTGAACGAAAGGTAGCAGGCAATCACAAGTAACCCTGGTAGAAGTCCACGACGGCGTGAACAGAATCAACTCTTACAGGACCAAATTCAATGCACAATCCCAACTCCTGATTGTAATACATTTTTGCTAAAGCAAGGAGAACTCAGGTAGCTCAAGCTACCTTTCGTGATTACACATATATATATACTAGGTGTCCCAAAGAAATGCCTATTGAAGGGCAAACAAACAGTGGTGACTGACTGACTGACTGACTGACTGACCGACCGACGGACTGACTGACTGACTGACTGACTGAGCGACTGAGTGACTGACTGACTGACTGGCTGACTACTGACTGACTGACTGACTGACTGGAGGAAGTCGGGGTGCCCCTGTCACATCCACGGCCCCTGGATGGGACTACAAACCCACCCAACTCCATGTGACTCCTGGTATATTGGGAGACGTCCATGTCCCCGCCGCTCAAACACTGCATCACACCAAATGGCTATGCGTATGACCCTTAAAATAAAACAATACATAAAAAATGTAGATGAGAGGATTCTTCCTTAATATGAGGGTTATGAATTGAACGATAATAAATACTAATAAACATGAAATCATAAAAAAGGAAAAGGCATGATAAAATAAAATTGAATAACATAGAAATTCCCATGGGTAACAATCCCTTATAAATATATAATAGAGAATAAAATGGCAAATCTCCATAGAATAAAGCATGACTAAAGAAAATAGAATAAGTGGTGTTGCAGGTGATTGTCAGATTAATATCTTTATAATGGATTAATGGTTGTCTCTTAATGTGATGTCGTCTCCTAAATTAATGGTTAATAAATGAAAAGTCAACATTAATATGAATGATTGATCCTTTATAATGTGAATGCTTATGAGATTGCATCCTTGATCATGAAAGATAGGAAATATCAATAATGAATGACTAGACACTGGCCATTCCCAACGATCCCCAACGATCTCCGTCGACCGTTACGCGGCATCGACGGGCACGTGACGACCGTCGTCGTCGCCGCGCCCGTTGTCCGCGCGCTCCGTGAGGGGCTTCGAGTGGGGCCCCTTGGGCACCGGCAAGCGGTGAGCCACGAAGCCCGAACAGTCCTCCGGCGTTCCGTGAAGGGGGAAGCAAAAATGAACATGACCCTAAGCCCTATATATAGCTGGTGAGTGAAGAAAAACCATGGGTCCCCTGATATTGCCCTATTATATCCGCCGACCCCGGCCTAGCCGATGCCTAGGCGGGGCGGCGCCTGGGACACTGCAGGTGAAACAGCTGCCCAGGCCAAGCAGATCCAGGGTGCTTCGCCGTGGCGAAGCTGCCGTTTGTTGGTGTGGCCGTCGGTTTTTTTTGGCTCTAGGCACACCTCAGCTTTTATGGGCTTCCGAAGGCAACGTGCCAGGCAACGTAAGGTTTCATTTTGGCTGGCTGCGGCTCGCCCCGTTGAAACCTTCAGGGCCAGGGTGTTTCGCCGTGGCGAAGGTGCCGTTTCTTGGTGTGGCCGTCGGCTGTTTTCTGCCTTAGGCACACCTCAGCTGCCAGGCAACTGTTTTATGGGCTAATAAACAAACGCAAAGTAGCCTTTCACCCCAAGGCTTGAGCAGTCCGACCAGACATGTCAATCATGCCCAATGGACTAATCCTAAACAAAGTGCATTTCAGAAACAAAGGGCGCTGTATTTGAGAACCCGGCGCTAGAAGTCAATTGGCTTAGCAAGGAGAGATGAAAGCGACTAAAGGCGCAAGGAGTACTCCTAGACATTCTCTGCATCGTCGCTGGACACTATTTGCGGCCAAATCCTCACGCAAGCAATGCGTGTTCACTCTTGCTTGTGAACAGCCAAATGGATCCACGGAGGGATCACATGCTAAACTTCTTCAAAAGGTCGGTCACGCTCTCCACCGGGACTCCGTCCCCACCTTTCGCTGAGGCTGCAGGTTCAGCTTTCCCCTCGGCCTTGGTGGCTTTCACTTCCGTCTTTGGCTCCGTCTTCTTCTCTTCGACGCGGGCCTTCTTGTTGACTGGAATCTCTTTCCCTGCCTCCAACGCGTCCAAGACTCCATCGAGGTTCGACTGAAACGCAACTCCGCCAGCCTGGAGGAGAGGAGCTTCCGCATCTCGCTTGGTCCCCTTTTCAGACTCAAACAGCTTGAGCCGGTTTGGCTTTGTTTCTGCCAACCGGTCTGCCTTGTTAGCAGTGCAAGATGCAAGGTTATTCCCTTCCACAGTTCAAGCCAATCGCTACCAGCTTGACTCTCATGGACAAAGCGGTTCTTGCCAGCATGCCCCCTCCAGGCTGAAATCAATCGCAACCCTGGTCGAGTTTTCCCAGAGGAGCTGGGCAAGAACCTGAGACGGAGAACGATCACAAAGCCATTTTCTAGAAGCTTTTGGAAAGAAGCGGATGATGTTCAACCAGCTAAAGACGGTGGGTTGTTTCTTAATATCGTGAATCGTTGCCTAAATTCTTGAAACTCATTCCGTTGATGCGGGGTCTTCGGGTGTTGCTCCATGTGGAAAAGGACAACAGTCTCGGCGGCACCCTTGTCAGACACCTCCTCTTGCAGGGGCTGCTCATCCTCAAGTTCTTCCTCGTCTTCCTCTGCTTCCTTCTTCTTGCCTGGAGTCCATTTGTCTGACCCAACCACACCTCGAAAGATGGCCTCTCGCTCCTTAGCTACTTTGGCCGTGGGTCTGATCCTCCATGATAGAGTAGATGAGGGGTTGGCTCAACAATCCTGGCGTAATCAGCGATACAACCAGGCGGGATCCACCCTTCATGAACTGAGTGTTGCTCAGCTGCGTGATCCGTGGCAAGAAGTTCGTCTGGATCAGCTTCACTCCGACGGAAGATGTTGCTCACTGCCACCCGCTGCGCGGCTTGAAATTGAAAGTGCCGACCTAGGCAGCCTAGGCACAAGTTCAAATCATTCCGCCGACTCTTGTCTGACGCAGAGGTTATCAGCCACTTGAGGTAGTCACACAGCCCGCAGTGCGTGAAGGGTCCATTGGCAGTCCGTATCTTTATCCAAGGCAGCTCTGTCCTCCACATCTTTAAAAAATAGGTTTGCTCAGCGATCTCATTGTTGGGCTTGCCCTGAGACAATCGGTCTTGCTTGTATGCGCACCAATAGAAGAACTTCCTTGCGTTGGGCAACCACAGTGAATCATTTAGTGGACTCGAGTCAGCGTGCGACTGCGCGTAGTCCAGCAACCAAGCCCTGCAATCAAGGTAAGCAACTGACCGCCTCGCGCGCCAAGCCCCTGACCCCTGTGTAAATGCAGAGGCGCTTGCTTGCCTGGCGCGCTGCAGGGTGTCTGCATGCACACCAGTGATTTGGATGAACGCTGCTGCAGACGTCCTGGCCCAAAACTTGAAATTGCATTCTCGAATCCTCCTCATGACAATTGGCATCTCTAAACATCTGCGACAATCGGGCGCCTCGGTCTTCCTTCGGAAGAGCGTACCAAAGCTTTCGCCACCGGAGCACTGCTTCAGGCTGTTTCCTGAAAGCATCCAAACACTTGTGAACCTTGCCATGTCTGTGGCAAGGGGAAGCCAATGCTTTTCGAATGACAGCCAAAGACAGCTTGGCGCACAGGCGTCGCGAATGGAAATACAAGTTCAACCTACAAGGGCGAAGAGACCGTTTCTGCAGGTACTTCTTCCCAATTTGTAGTTCCACAGACCTATCAATGCCTGCTGAACACTGCTTCTGAGTTTGACGGCGGCCCTCCATTGTAGGGCCGGAAATGTCTGCTGCACAGCGTCATCTTTGGCCCCACAGTTGACTTGCATGAGGAGGGCTGTCAAGTCGTTGCTGCACTGCTTGTTTTGAAAAGGGTCACACAGCATGAGGGCAGTGCACATTTGAAGCAGTGCAGTGGAAGCGGAAGCAGAGGCTGGCTCTTGCAATCACCCTCCTCTGAGCCACACAAGCTGGCACCATCAGAGTCTTCCCCAATGTGTTGTTTCTGACAGGCTGCCAGAAGAGCGTCCTCGTTGCCTTGTCCAGCTGCCGGTTCCAAACAATATGGTGAAACGCCCAGGAAAACATGTCTGGCCTTTGCCAATAGGCCCACTGCCGCCCTTCCCTTCTCCTGCACAAGTTGCGCTGCCAACATTTGAAGGCGCGAGGCTGGAAGGAAAATCATCCACTGGATGCCAAGCAAGGCACTGGCAGCATACAGCATCGCGATATCTATCCAGGCGCCAGCTTCCCGCATGTGACTGATATAATAAGCTTCCAGAGTGTGGTGGCTCATGCGTATCCAGTCCCCGAGTGTAACATCATCACAAAGGACAGCTGTCTCAGCATTGCGCTGCAGCCACACAAGGAGCTTCAGACGTAAGAATTTGGAAGCTTGTTCTAGGCCCTTCTCATCAGCAAAGGAAACCAGTTGGCGTGCAATCTCTGAATTCAGTTTCAACCTCTGCACGTTCTGTATAATTCCGTGCAGGCCGCAATCCCTGGTTCTAACAGTATCATTGCTCAGCTCGCATTGATAGGCACTAATAGCCCGAGACAGTCTGCCCCAATCCACAGCATCCAAGTCCAAAACCTTGTTAGTTTGCCTCGCTTCGTTCTCTTGGTGCGCAAGGGCAAAACCAGCTAGATCGCTGAGAAGTGCAACAGGCTTTCCATTGCGCCAAGACATGCGCCACGGATATGTATGTGGACCATCGGCCTCGCCGACGTCATCACGTTTCCTGTGAATAGGACTTGTGACTGCTTCAGAGAACATGTGCTACGGATGTGTGTGTGTGCGAGTTGAGTAGACCATCGGCCTCGCCGATGTTGCAAAGCTTTTGTGAAGAACACCTGCAAGCTTCTTGGGAGGAATTGCGCTACGGATATGTGAGCACCATCGGCCTCGCCGATGTCGCAAGCTATCGCGTAAAGGACATTTGCAGCTGCTTCAGAGAATTTGCATGAGATTGGAGATTGGATGTTTTGCCAGTTGCCTGACATGATTCCTTTTCAGAAGCTTCGAGTAGCTGTGACGCAATCAGTCGTTGGCCCACGGCTGATATCGCGCCGTGTGGTTTCGGTTGGTATATTCACCCCACCCCCTTGTGTTTCTTTTAGTTGAGCGCATGTGAGCTCCACTTCTAGTGTTTCACACCGACTTGCCGCTATGGCTCCAGGAAAACAATCCACTTGCGTGAGCCGTGACTGCACTTCGTGCCATTCGCTTTCGCATCGTTTGACTTTGACCTCTTTCGGGACCGTGTTACTTTCCGTGGGAACACTGCGCACTAGTATCCGTGTCATGGCGGGCGGGGTGGGGTGGGTGGGGCGATCTGTTCTCGATCCGCGTCGTTTTTGCCTCAGAGCTGAATTGGTAAGGAGTCTTAAGAGTTTAGGGCAAATGAGATATGAATTTTACTGGACCAGTTCCAAACTGCTGGCAGGTATGACGCCATGTCTTAAGTCACAGGTATCATAGTCCAGGTGTTTATCTTCCACTGGCTCTGTATGAAACACGCACTTCAAGGGAAACATGATGTTTTGGCAATTACCTTGGCGTTCAGATGTGGAACCTGCTGGCCAGGCCACTGCGTTTCATGTCAGGAGAAGTTGTATTGAACACCCGGAAACTACTTTCATCCAGCATTCAAGACATCTCTTTCTGCTACCATCATCTAGCATGCACTTCCCGAAGAACCTGAGGACCGTCTGGTTCATGTTATCTGCACTAAGAGATGTTGAGAACATGTGCATTGCATTGCCATGTCCATGTCGACTGCACATTTCAGTGACGTGACAAAGTAATTTCGGCCCAGAAAGTTTGGACAAGCAAGAATATTCATGGAATCAGTAGGTCATGAAGCATTCTTTTCCGTTGCGCTCTTGGAGGTGCAATGCCTGAGAGGTGCCATCGTCTTGTTTTGGAGTCGTGTTGGGTCCTGAGACCCAAGTCAGCGCATTGGTGCAACGTAGTCAGTACACACTGCAAAAACTCTAGCACCTGTCTTTGGGCACCCACCCGCAAGATGCCAAGTCTTGTGATTGAGCAGCCTGCCGCAAACCGGTGTGGCTAATCAAATCATCGGCAAGCCGATGAAAACTAAATATACTGGCCAAAATATTCTTGGAACATAATCACCGTGTAAAACATGTTACACAATCCTACCATTGCGAAATGCCTCTGAGTCTTGGAGTCTGTTTTGGTTTCGGAGTCTGATTCCAAGAATTTTGATATCATGCAATTGATTGCAGAAGTTCTTGATAGAAGAGCGAGAAGGAGTAAGTCTCGCTACTAAGTACCCAGCAAGTAGAGTCTTTTGAGCCAAGTCTTGGAAACGGTCTCTTCGAAAGTAAGCGTAGTTCATTTTTCCAATGAACATGTATGACAATGTGTCTTGTGTTCCAAGCACCTAGCAGCTCTAGAACGTAGTAGACTTGTTTCAAACATCCTCTCCACTTTCCGGTGGCAAAAAATACCGTTTCATGGACCCACCCAGTGCGTACCCACCGCTTCACCACCCCAGTGCTTCGGGTCCAGCGCTTCGAAGAAGTCCTCCGTGGCCTACGCGTTGTCCAGTCAGCCAGTCACGCTTATCACCCAGCAACCGGGCGCCACTCATAGAACCACGAGGTCGCGCAACAGGGGCACCCAAGCGCGAGAGAGTCACCCCAAAGAAAAGAGGGCGACCCAAGCAAAGGGCGGGCAAATGATACAAAAATCACCAAATTCATGATCACCCAAGGCCAGGGCAACCCAAGTTTTAGGTATAGCAAATTCAAAGTGAAAGCATTCGTTTTAGGCAATCAATAACACCCAGGCATCAGAACAACCAAAGGACAAGCAAACACAACCAAGAGGCGGCCACCGACAATCAAGCGCTTACAACCCAAGGGCAACCCAACCAAAGTGCAACCATAGGGCAACCATAGGCCCTTGCGGCAACCTGATTGAAGGCGGCAACCAAAGGGTAACTGAAGGCAAACTATGGGCAACCCACATGGCAACCAAAGCTGGTCAACCTTAGCTCAAACGGACTGCTTTGCTGCAAGCAGCAATGCAGTGCAGCAAAATGATATATCCTGGATCGCCATCTTCGCCATGATTGGTCACCATACCCTGCAAAATTATCATTTTTTTGGAAGAGCCTGCTGTTGGCGAAACCACCTGACGCATCCTGACACAACGAACATCCACTTGCAGTATTCACAGTGGCGGTGCAAGAATTCTTTCATTAACCACCATGGAGCTCCAAACCTTCCCACCCAGTCATTCTGCAAGCGTCATTCCCCAAATCTTCCCCACCTGCATCATGTCTTCATTCCTCTCAAAACCTTATGAGATGCCAACCGTCCCTGTTTTCCGTTCCACTTCCGCTCCATACCGTTCTCCGTTCCGTTTGTGGTCCACCTCGAGGTCTCGCTCACGCTCGGCCAGGAGGAACTCGGTAAAGTGAAGCCTCGTCGGCGATCGCGGGCGGCGGAGCGCGGCAGGCGGAGGGGGGTGGTGAAGAACCAGTTCATCGACGATCCCAATCGGTCCTGATGTTTCATGAGTTTGGCTGGATTGTTCATCACAGAGAGCTTGCCAAAGTCAAAAAGAACAACTGGATGGTTTATTTCTTTTTGGATCATAAGCACCGGGTTTGAAGTCCATCTTTGTCGCAGGGTACAGGGTGCCATCCAATGCCCCAAGGCCCAAAGGCTCCAAACACCGCCCTTGGTAAGCCTTGGTTTACCAAAACCTAGGAATTTCAGACTCCAAAGCTCTACACATACCAAGGTCAAATAAACAAACCAAACACCTGAATTGACCAGAGGTTTGTGGTCCACGGCAGGGGTCGTAGGAGTGAATCTCATGGGAGATCACCAGCGATTTGGCGCCAAGATTGGGATGGTCTCTGGACCTGGCGGACAATCACTTCCTGTTGCCCGGTCCCCAATATCCCTCATTTATAGTGGTTCCCCAAAAAGATAGTAGCACGGTGTCCAATACATCTTGAAAGTATTGCTTTTCTATCTGTTTGGGTTTTTTTTGTTCAATGAAATGGCGAAAGCAAACACTTCACCACCACATTCGTACCAAGAAGCTGAGACAAAAGCCGCAGCAAGCAGTTCTGCAGCCTCAGTGTGCGTATACCATCAAAAAAACTGATGGCAAACCAAATAAGACATGCACCAAGTGCCGTAAAGTTCCACTTCTAAGTACAACGTGGTGGAGTTACCCTGTGGAAAACTAACATGGACCCTGAAAACCACTGGTTAGTAGAGGAAAATCATCTTCCAAAGATCCATTTCCAGGGTCCATGTTAGTTTTTGGGAGTGTATAACATCCTGCAGGTAACAAAGGTTTCAAAAAAAAAGGGAGACCGGAGACCTTCCAAAGACTCCTCTGGAAGATCGAACATAGACCAGTCTATCCATTTGGGGTCGGGGACCAACTCATGACAAAAAGAACAAACACGATCTGTCTGGGACTGACATAGGACTGCCACCCTAGACAGACCCCCAGTCAACCACCCCAATGTAATTCAGCAGTCCTATGGCAGTCCCAGACAGGTCGTCTGGGAAATGAAGCTCGTTGCATTGTTGCACCACCTCCGGACACTTCGGAATGGATGCAACGCAGGTAGGAATTGCTGGACGGGCAACGTTCTCCAGCAGAGTGACCAAGGACGCGACATGTCGGGGGGTTCCGCTGGAGGTTGTTGTCGACCTTCAAATGGATATGTATCCCTACTCCAAGTACCTTCTCAGGTTAGGTCATTGGAGACACGGTCCAGTCGTACCTTCTGAGGTTCGCTACGAAAACGGATCCCGCACAACCCATCAGATTGAATTGTCCTTCTTCCATGGGGATGGGGAGTCCTGGGGACTTTGGGAGGGTCTCCCTATTTTGCATACACACCTTACAGTAGCCTTTGGCCACCCACCGGGACCACCGGACGGGGCCTTAGACGTTGGGCCGCACGGACCGGTCCGGAACGGTTGGCCGCTTTGGAGAGGAGCCATGACGTGTTTGCAAACCAAGCACCCCCGGCCACACGTTCAACCAAGGAGAACCACATCCAACAACACCCAACAACTGCATTCATGTGCTGCACACGTCGTTTGTAATTGACCCAGGTCGGCCACCGAGCACCAGGTGATGCTCGGAGGCTCTGGGAGGCTCCGGACCAAACCCGGGGTCCAGACCTTGGGTCAACCTGGTCAAGCCTCCCTAAACCCTATAGGGATCCACTGCCACCGAACCTCAGGAGGTACGACTGTGACCTCCTGGCACCTATAATAAGAGTGTCTCCAATCACCGTACCTGAGAAGGTACGACTGGATCCCTAGGGCTTGGAATCCAGTCCTACCGAACCTCAGGTGATGTGTGGAGACAGTGAGACATATAGGTGCCAGGAGGGTCCAGTTGTACCGAACCTGAGGTTCGGTACGAAAATGGATCCCTAGGGCGTCTATACACCTATACACCTTAGTTCCTTGACCTTTCTTGGTTTTAGGCTCCTCGAAACCCTCGACTAACTCACGACACCCAGGCCAGCGTCATTTTCCCGACAAAGATGTCCCGCCAAGGCCCACAACAAAGGGTTCCAACAAACTGTTTCGGCCTTCAACTCAACCCTGACCCTTCTCATCCCTTCTCCTCCAAGTTGGCCCCGACCCCAGAACGCCAGGATCACACCCCATTCACCCCACAAGTTCACCTCCCAAGACCGAGGCTCATTTGATCGAGGCCGCGCACTAAGGTGAACTCCCGCGCGGCAGACCAACCCAAATCGCCGCCCAGCACCACATCCCACGACCTGTCGCGAGGAGGGCCTATGGATCCACCGTACGGTGTGGCGGGGTGGCGGTGTAGATGGGGGACGATTGAGGGAGGTCAAAAAATCCTAAGAACGGCGAGGCGAGCCTCATGATATATATGGTGCTGGAAGACGACAGAACGAAGTGGAACATATATATATATAATATATATATCCCAGACACTCCATGTATGGCATACATGCCTACATTGGGGTGGTTGACCTGGGGTCAATTGACAATAAATAGACTCTTGACCTCTTGGATTGAGGAATTTCCAAAACACCAGATGAACTATATGATTGATATCAGGCAAAAAAAAGAATCCTTCATACCAAACTCACATCCCTGCCTCACAAGCACGACCTTCCTGAAACGTCAAAACCCCAAACTCCAGTTGAAGGTCATCCCGAAAAAACCTGTGACACTCCCTGTAACCACAACGGCGCTCGCCGTCCGTACCGGGCTCGCCGGTCGGCCCGTCGCCTCTCCAGAACCCAAGGCGGCGGAGAGTCCCAATCGATGACCTGCGAGTCTGTGCGAGGAGGGTGAGGAGAGGAGGAGTCTGTGCGAGGCCAGCAAAAGGGGGGTGAAAGATCCTAGATAGCAAGGGGTTGGATTTTTGTTTGATGATCTTTGGAAGGGGCAGCAATATCTTGTGAGATAAATCTAGTTCCAGTGCTGGCGGGAGTGGGCAATGGCTTCCATCTGCGACGGCGAAGGTGTCCCCATCAGCTGACGTCCGACTCACTCCGGCCCGTTCGGAAGTGGATGGCATGGCCCGTTGGTAAGACATGGTAAGACTATATGAAATCCGAAAAACCCCAAACAGGTGGCGAACTCCACTCGCATGTGATGTGTTTCTTGCCGGAGGGTAAACAAAATGGCACTTCTAGGAGTCTCATGGAGTTGGGTGGTTTTAGTCCCATGCAGGGGTCGTGGATGTGATAGTGGCACCCCGACTTCCTCCAACGGGCATCCTTTTGGGGCTCCTGGTTGTTCTTGACTGCCTTGGACGCTAGTTTCATTTTGGAACCAGCTGGAAAAAACCTAGTTTTTTCACCCGCCAAGGGGACCAAAGATCCATGGATGCAGTTTCAGGGGTCACAAACACAGCAGCCCCTACTGGTTGACATTTCAGCGGGGAGAGGAGCAACTCTATCACCTCATGAACCAGTTGGACCACCGGTGGTGAACCTGCGCACTGAGCTTGGAAACACAGGAAAACACCTCACTCTGTGATTATCAGAGTCCACAAGTCCACATGTTCTCAGATGCTCAGAAAAAAAAATACTATATTTGGGCCGTTGGATCTGTGGTATTTCATTTGGATGGTACTCAGCAGGGGGGAAACGTACTCAGCACGGAACTGCTCAACCAAAACCCTCCCCCGCGCGCTTCTGGTCCCCGCCCAATGGATCACAGCAAAACCACAACGAGACAAATGCCTTGAACGGAATCCAGATTGAACATCTTTCAAAAGACATGGTGAGAGTATTCAATGAGAACGATCTGTGGGCAGCGGTTCTTCTCGCCGTGCCGTCGTCGGTGGCTCCAAAGAGATGCCCGTGCTCAGAGCGCATTGTTCGTCTCTTTTGCGAGCCCGTCTTCCGTTGCTCATGCTGGACAGGCTGTTGAATGGATAGGCCACAAGCCCAAACAACACACTTGAGACCTTTTGAACACATGGGACACCTTCTAAGCCCGCTCTCCGCCCTCCGCCCGCACCCGTCGCGACACGCAGCAGACGACACCATCGCCCCGTCGACAGCTTAAGCCCTCGTCGTGACACGGTAGGCCGGGCACCTCGGCGCGCCACTGCGTTCCATGCAAGAGGTGTTCGTTGCAGCGAGCAGCGGCTTCGGTGGATGCCTGCAGGTGGATGCGGCTGAGGTGCATGCGCATGATGCATGGCAACCAGAGGGGTACCATCCAATTCCCATTGGTAAACATCGACCAACAAAACTGAAGGCCCCCACAAAAACGGGTCTATCGAGCAGCAAGCGCCGTCACCATGCCGAAAACTTTGGAACCTGGGGCTCTGCTACGTAATCATGAAGCAAATCCTGCAGTGGTACTTGCAGTGGTGTATTTGGAACAGCCCCGGATTTTCGTGCTTTGGTTGGTACGGAATCTCCATCAACCCCCCAGGCAAGCAGTCTAAGTAGGCGATCCGGTTCACCAGGCCAACCATGCCCCCCGGCCATCCAGGCCATCCATGTTTCCCTTTTACGACCATGTCACGACCTCAATTTTCCCTCTCCATTGACTCTCCATGCCCCCAGGTCAAGCACCCAAATGTAAAACATATCAGGTCGTCCCAATGATCAGGTCGTGTGGATAGAGGTTGGACTCCCACACTCCATGTACCAGGACCCTGTGTGGCCAGGCGGACACTGGGACACTAACAAAATGGTTTCTGGGCACCTGTTGTCACCAGGAAACGTCTGTTGGAGGGTGCTGGTATAGAATATTAACCCATTGACCCACGGTCAAACACCCCAATGGCGTCGTCCCAGACAGGTCGTGTCTGGGACTATGTTTGGACCGTCACCGCTTTAGTTCTCGGGGGCCACCCGCCGCTCTAAGCCATCCCCCTCTTGTTTCGGCCATGGAGCAATCGTGTCCTCTGCATCGCTGGAGATACAATCGTGGCCTGCGAGCGCGAGGCACCGGCAGCGCGAGGCATCCAGCAGCTGAATCTTTATAGGAATCCACACTCTGAGAAGGCAACCCAATATCCGCAAATGAGCCATGGAGTGGGGATTCATGTCAAGTATGAAACCACTGGATCCACCCCACTGAAGCCCCAAATCCGAGCTGTACACCAACGATATTAATCGACCCTGGTGTATCAAAACGATTCCAACCTCGACCCACTTCCTGGTGTTTCGACCCGCTAGAGGTGTTTCCACGATCTTTGGACACATCCCAACAGAGGTTTTTCAGAACCCGACCCTTCGACTATCCCAGTTGGGTACCCAGGTTTTCCGGATCCTATTCACGGTCACGTTCCACCTCTCTTGGTCATTCTGGGCAAAATCCGTTGATTCCAACGCATGGGCCGTGCGTACCGGCCGGTCTCTGCGCCCGAGTGTTTCACGGGCTTCCACACCCAGCAAGGCAGCGACGAAGCCACAAACAGCGAGGCCAGCGCCCAGTTCCAGCACACTCAGCCTCCGTCAGGCTTGGGTGAAAACAAGCGGATTTCGTGGGGCATGGAGACCATTAAGTGTGAATCTGAACAGAAGGGGAACGAGGTCTAAGGTATACGCACAGCATGTCTGAAGCGTCGTTTGATGTTGGCAAAGCGACGACTGGTGGAGTCCACCTGGTCGAAAAAAACATACCAATGGTTTGACCATGTTTGACTTCTTAAAGGGTCCAACAAGTGCTGGTGCAGATATTTAGATGAATCTACTATTATGGGCTATCTTGGCTTGGCACTGTTAACTTTCGCGAGTAACTGGGGAATGGAAGCAGGAAGCGTGCAAACATACATATAGTGCAAAATTAGATCACACCTTAGTGTGTGAAGTGTGTGATGGGATCGTTTTTAGATACATGTAAGAACTCGCGGCCGCACACTCCGTCAATCCGCTGTTCTGTTTTCACTGCCGGCTCTCTGACTCTTGTCTCGGTACACCCACGCTGTTTCACGTGATTCCTGTACCACCCCGGCCCCCCCAAGTCGACATTTCAACAAGGAAGCTGTCACCGATGCCATGAAATCCGACATCTTTCTGGAGTTGACCCCGCTTCTCGTCATCCACTGTCTGTTTGCCTCGGTGGTTGGTCAATATTATGACAAAGAAGCCAAATAGCAGCCATCACACGCATACATCAAATACTGCATGGGGTTCTCGCACTTTTGGTTTGGGAGCTGTCTTCTGGGAACTGCGTGCCCGACCCTTGCCCTCAGCGCTTACTGGCTCCTCCTTGGCCCTCGCCTTCTCCCGACGGCCGGACTGGACTTGAAGGATGCATGCCCTGCTGAAATCGGCGGTGATGAACTCCGGGTGGCATTGCTCGGAATGCTGGTAGCGGGCCCAATCATCCTGAGCGCGAATGGACCGGCCACAGCGAGGGCAAGACATCCGGTCCGGCTCACCACTGGGAGCAGCAGGTGCCTTGACTGCAGCTGGGGGGCGCTGCGTCTTGGCCCGCTGAGGCTTGCGAATGCTGTTGACGCCGTTGCCACATTTTGCAATTCTCCGACATCTGCTGGTGTTGCGACAGTGCCCAGATTCCGGGCGCCACACTTTGCCAGCAAATTGGGCACGTTTGCCGGTCGCTGGTCCTTGATCGATGCTGCCGCCCAGCCTCCAAGGCTTTCTCAAGGAATCTGCAATGGAGAAGGGCAATCACACTGAAAGCTTTGTTTCAAGATACAGAGCCAACAACAAACAATGAGGAACAAAAGCAATCACCAAATGCATCTCAGGCACTCACGAAATCCCTCCACCACCTTCAGCCTGGTCACCACGTCGTCCACGGTCTGGAGGGAGCCACACCACAGAGCAAATGCCGCTGCCAAAAGCCGGGCTCCAACTTTAGTACGCGGAGTAACCGGGGAGCTGGAAGATGAGAACTGGCGACTTTGTAGTACAACTTTAGTACGCGGAGTATCTGGGGAGCTGGAAGATGAGAACTGGCGACTTTGTAGCACAACTTTAATACGCGGAGCAATCTGTGGAGCTGGAAGCTGAGAACTGGCGACTTTGTAGTGCAACTTTATACGCGGCTGAGTCATCTCTCGCGGCTGCTCTGGCGCCCCTGCAGCTGAGTCATGTCTCCCGACCACCCGGCTCTCGAGAGGTTGAGAAGTTTTATTGCTTACTCAAAAAGTGGTCATTTCGATTACTTTCTGGAGACCGCAAAACACGTGTTTTGAGAGGTTGACAATTTTGAGCTAATTAGCTTCGTGTCTAGACAAGCTATCACATCATAGTTAACGTCTAGCTCCAGTTAGCTTTAGTGGAGCTAGAGCTAGAGCTATGCTTCACTCATCACTCATGCGTCTGACTGAGGGACACGCATGGTGGAAAGAACCGGGACGCTCCTATAGGTCAGTTTGTTCTTATAGGAAACTTCCGCCGCCGGCTTGCCCGGGAACTAATTGAAAACATTATCGCTTGCAAATTACGTATCATAACATCTGCCCTTCTCTGGACAACATTGAGATATTTAAGCCACTGGACAACACTAGGTAAAAGCTAGCAAACCAAAAAAGGTGGACTTTTGGGGGGGTTAGCATATATATATATGTGTGTGTCCGTGACTGGTTGCTTCACTCGCCCCTCGGCTCCGGACATGAGGTTGTGGGAGCGCCTGCAAGCACGCTGTACCGGCGTTGGTTTTACCAGGGCACCGCAGTGCAGAGCTGGGGTGCAACCAAGGCACCGTTCTCGCCCCTTCCTGATCCCAAGACGTCCTAAAATGGCTTGCTGGAAGCTTGGATCATCTCCTGGGGAAGGATACCAATGGGCTCGAGGTCATCGAGGCGACATCTGCACTTTGGAGCTTGGGCTGCCATGTGGCTGTGTGCAGGGTGTTGGTGCCACTGCAGGGTGGCGCTGCCTAATCCGTGGTGAGAACGGGCCAGGTTTCGATTTTTTAAACTTCTGTAGCGTTGGAGCTTGAGCTGGTGCCAGACGCTGGAGCTTGGGTGTTGGTGCCACTGCAGGGTGTCGCTGCCAGATCTGTGGTTAGAATAGGTCACGTTCCGATATTTTACGTTCACCTGTAGCATTGGAGCTTGGCCAGATGTCTGGCCGTGTGCACTTTGGAGCTTGGGTATTGGAATCCATCCAAGACACACCAGAAAAAACAGTTAAGCCCATGGCCTTTAAGATAATTTTTGATTTTCAGAAGCGTGCTGAATCAAGACCACAGCCAAGGTGCTTCATACAGGTAGCTTTTTAACCGGTGAGAAAAAGTGAACCACAGCTCAACTTTTATTTGCAAATGAAATTGATTGACCTCCCACAAACCTTCCGCACGCTTCTGAAAATTCCAGGCTTCCAAAACATGGGCTCGTGAAAGTTATATACTACTTGGCACTCCGTGCTTTTTCCCTCACCTTCTCCACACAAATGTGTATCAAAGGCATTATCGAAGAGCTCCTTGCCCAAAAGGCATCCAAGACCAAGCACTCGAGTAACAAGAAGCTACTATAGGGGCTCCTGGCCATACTACTAGGAGCGATCGGACGCTATGAACGGGTCTCCTGGCATCGCTACGAACGGAGCATTCTTACTAATCCCGAGTACCTATTAAAAAGCGGACCCCTATTAAAAAAAAGTCATGTCGGATCCCCGTAAATACGGTTTATATTTGTCTTTAAATTACCGCCCTTTCAAGCCGCTACTAAACTACCAACATGGCCAATTTTGGAGGGGTGTTTCTTATTAGGTTCCAAAATCAACCGTAACTGCCCACCTCTGTCCGCCCTGTCTATCCACCATGACACGCCGCGCTTACACCAGCAGGCTTTCCTTCCCCCAATGGCACGGACTCACGCAAACGCGCTTGCCACCGAGGTCATGCAACACCGCATGGCACAGCGACATCACCTTTCGAAAGCTTTAGCTGTTAGTCTACTGAAGAATCACTAGTCTAATGAAGGTTTTTGTAGGGGAAAAGGAAGACCCTTCGATCTGGAGGTTTTTTTGCATTTTTGATATGAGTTTAATAAATGATTTTGTATAACTTTTTCCTGGATTACTTTGTGGTTTTGAAACTCTTTCCAGGTGACCCTATTTTGGACCCCCCCGATTTCAGGGACCATTAGAAAAAATGCGACCGAGGTTTCCTTATTAGGGGGGGCGGGGCCTCGTGTTTTTTAATAGGTGGAAGGGATTACTAGTATCCCTTAACCTCATAGGCAGGTGGCGGTGAGCGGGACTCACCCGACGTCATCAACATCTACCGGTTTTTTGCCCTGCCCGGTTCAGCGTTTCCTCTCCCAAGACTTGCTTGCCCGCTATCCGAATTCCACTCTTTTCTCCCCTTCCCCTTCCCGTCCGGACTCCACAACATACAACAAACATCACCCCTTCCAAATGTCTCTCTCCCCACCTGAAAACCTCCCCCCCCCCCCCCTCCCACGTACCCTCCCGAGACGTCCACGACCTCGTCGTGGGCGCCAGGAGCTGCGGCAGCGCCGAGGCCAAAACGAGTCCCGGATCCCAGACATCAGCGCCTGACGGGTGGGTTCTGATCCCACTGTTGGGACCGATCACGGCCGGTCAGAGGACGGGAAGGCTGTGTCAAACGTGTTGCCATGGGGGAACATCGGGGTGAATGAGCGGGGAATCTCGCCGAGTTCATGGATCAACAAACACATAGCTGGATCACTACGGGCTATATAGATGTGTTATGCAGTATATGATTACATTACCCAATTCTTGGAGGTGTATTGGGACTGGATAACTAGCTTTCATGTGGTTTCCTCCTTGGCGGGACTGTCCTGCTGATCCCCCAGCGGTCGCATGGGCGCTGTCTCGTCATTTGTTTCACTCACGGGCACTAAGCCGATACCACTTCGAAGCCATACCTGTCATCAGCCGATCGAAGCGGCTGATTCACATACATCTTCCCAACACCCAGACACGACCTGTTTGGGACTGGCATAGGTTTGGGCACTATACCAGATCGAAACCAGTTCAAGTCCGAGAGCATCCAAGTCTCAACAGCAACAGCTTTGTACATAGACATAGACATGGCCGAGTGATCCAAGAAGAGTCGAGTCACTCTCATGCTATAGTCATGAATTTCACGCCTATGGACCTCTGACCGCAAAACAGTCCAACGAGGAACACGCGTGTGGAACACGCCGCGTGTTAGGTCTTCTCACTCGCCTAAGGTCTTCATGTCGCGAGGAACCTCTCTGCGCGGGAAAACGTCGAAGAAGTTCGTTCAGAGGTGTCTGTATAGTTCCCATCCCAAGGCCTGTGGAGGCCCAACAATGAGGGTCGTGGAACTCAATCTCATCACGCTCGGACTGCGCAGGCACTGCGATCGGCAGCCGTAGCGCAGGACGCCCCCAGGGTGCGCACTGGTCGCCGGGCGTGCCACTGCGCAGCACATGCCTGGCGAGCAGGTTGGAGGGGCGGATGGGTGGTGGAAAGGGGCATGCCAGTTGAACAACTCGTGAAGTTGAACGCCAGTGACTGTCTTTTCCACCGGACCCATGATCAGAATCCAAGCAGCATCCAAGTGGCCCATTAGAGCAATCCGGGGTTGATTGCAACCTTCGGATAGTTCATTGCGTCAATGCACCAAAGACTCAGACTTTGATCACAATTCCTTTGATCCATCCATGGTCAACTGGCTCAACCACCTATAGCTCAAAACTGTTCCCAGAATGTAAGAACAACTGGCGAACAAAACCAAAACGAATCAAAGTATGCAGGCACTCCATGGGATTGGCACATGTGCCACCCCATTGACCCCTTTTCCACCGCCCAAATGTATGTACATATGCCTGTCCCAGACAGATCAGACAGGTCGTGTCCGGGTAATGCTTGACAAAACAAAGCATGTGGAGATCGATTTGATTCACCTTATTTGGTTGTGCATTTTAGAGGCCCGACCCAGTTGCTCCTCCTGGAAGAAGGAGGAGCATAGACCAAACCCATCATGTTGTCAACAACCGTGATATAGAGACACGCGCACTTGATTAAAACAGAATCCTTGCCATTGAAAAAACATAAACCCATCTTGATCATCTTGCTAAGACACCATGCAGTTGATTAAACAATCCGAACAAAACGTCACTCAAACACTTGCTCTTGACCCTCCCACCGGATGAATGTCTCGTTAGACTGCTCTCCACCCTCGCCCATGTGCGTGGCACCACCCCACCGCCCGCATGCGTCCGCGCCTGGAGATGTCCAATCGACTGGCCTTGGGCGACCGGTGAGACGAGCCCAGGTCATACTGGATCGACATGAGACGAGCCCAGGTAAACCTGGTCGTATGAGGTCGTATGGTTGGCTCGTCTCTTAGGTGTCTCCTGAGTATTCTGGGTTCGTATGATGTCGTAGGAGTATTCTGGGCTCGTCTCTTAGGACTACCTGCTTGGGAAGTAGCTTTTGGTCCTCCTACCCGGTTTCTCGTTGGAGCTCCAGGTGTGGACCCAAAGGCAAGTTGGTGCCAATACCATGGTAAAAGGGTCAGCCTCAAGAGTGGAGGGCGACTCATGTGGTCTGGGTGCAAAAAAGGAATCACATGGACTTCCTTGAAGTTCACATGAGTGATGACACGTCGTGTGAAAAAGGCAAGTGGCAGGTAAAATACGTGGCAAATTAGCTTCTCGACCCGTCCTGCGGTTGATTTGACTGGACCAAGTGATGCTTCCCGCAATCTTCTCTAAATCTTTGCCCTCGAAAAGCCCAAACACCCGCCCAGGAAGATGTTCACCCACCAAAAACACCTCCCGCTGTTGAAACGTGTCATCAAGCCTGCGGGCCATCCACCAGTGGCGGTAAAGCACTGGTCAAAGCTATCCGAATGGACCCCATGAGTCCCCAACCACCTTGACGCATCTCATTGAAGTCCATCCTAAACCGATGGATGGCTTGAATGTAGCTCCCCATGGTGCTACACTCTAGCACTGCGGCACAAATGGCAGTCCCCAGACAGGTCGGCAGTCCCATGGGTATCTCATCCTCTCTCATCCAAACGGGAGTCTCAAATCCCAATTGGTCGCCCAAGTCAAGGACCCCTTCTACAGGATCTATAGCTATAGAGGAGACCTTCAAGTATACCTGGATGTTCTAACTATGCAAATGTTCTGCCTTTCAAACGTACAACCAAAATACTGTAACAGAAATGGTTGGTATAGCCCCTAAACGGCATCCGGCATCCCAAGGATTAGGTATGCTGCACTCCCCCAACAAAAAATTGGCAAGCTCATCGTACTCCTTGTAATTTCGGATGGAACATACATCTTAATCTGAGATTATTCGAGTGTGGTTCTTCAATAGGAAGAAGCACCCAACCGATGGGTTTGAGTCTCACCGGAGGTCACTGGTCCCCATCTCGTTTCGGCCGGTCCGGGGCCAACCGGGTAGGACTCATGTGGACTGTCACAGAAATGACCACCTCAAAAGGGACATGTCTGAACATCCTCCCTCGCGCTAGGAGTACCACGCAAAACACATATAGTGACCTACAGTAGCTCGGAGAGAATCATGCACGCAACCTTGAGTTCCTCTCCATATACATGGGCATGACAGGCTGGACAAAAAGGTGCACCAATTGAAATCATAATGGAAGTGGAGTGCACCACGTAATTGGTCTTCGGATTTCATGGTCCGAACGGGAACGGGGGCCATCCACACCATGATGATTCCGGCTCCACTGCCATATCGTCCAAAGGTGGTTAGGTTAGACCCCAAAAAAACCACCCCAACCACCGAACCGAAACGGAGGTAGGCCAGGAACCCCTCTAATGATTCCCCCTCCGGCGGCTTCGAGGCTTCGTCCGACCTTGCCACGTTCGTCTCCCCCGCGCTCCGTTGCTTGGGACGCGGTGCTTCGTGCAGCTGGTAGGGCAATGGAAACAAAAGCCCATACCTCTCGCCCGTGGGCCGCAAGGGATCCGGACCGAACGGAAAGGAGGTCGTTAAGACGAGCGTGTCGTTTCGTGTAAAGTAGATCACGTGACGGTCACGTAGGGAAGGATAAGAAAGGTCCTTATAACGAAGACTTGTGTAAATTTAGGGGCCACTTTAAACTAGGGCCCAAACTCGCCGCACAAGTGTGCGGAACTTTTGAAGGCCCCAGTGCATTCGTGCACGTACTCGTGTTCTGTCCTTCCTTCTTCTCGAGCCATAGCGGCCTCTCCAAGCTGGCACAGAAGAGCTAGACGACATCGGTCGCTAGCTCGTGCCTTCCTCCGCAGCTGCAAGCTGCGAACCTCGCTGACTTGGTCAGCCAAGGCTCGATACCTAAGGTGTGCTGGTTTGCTGGCAGGCCACCATTCGAAGGTGGTATACCAACGACATCCCTGCATATATCAGGAGACGATGCCATGGTCCACTTGGAACCAGACCCAGTATCAGAAATGGGACAAATCCAAGGGCAAGCAAGAGAAGGAGAAGCCCAAGCCCGAGAAGGCAGAGAAAGGCAAGATGACCTTTATAGGCTACGATGGAAAGAAAGTAGATGTTCAGGAAGAGCGGCATGGTGCGCCATCATCTTCGGCATCATCTACTTCAGTGGAGGCTGTCTTGAAGGAAGAGAATCGCCTGCTCAAGGAAGCCATGCGTCAGATCCGAGATGGCAAGGATGTCCAACTTGCAGAGGATCCAGAAATTGGCCCACTCTTGGAGAAAGACCCACGAGAGAGCTTGAAAGAGAGGCAGAAGATGCTCAATCAAGAAAGGAAGACAATCAACAGGGTCGAGAAGATCCGTGCCTCGATTCTCGAAGAAGAGAAGAGGTTTGCAGGCTGGAAGCGGTTCATGGATGCTGGCATGAAACAAGAAGCCCAACGACATGCAAGTACTATGGAGCGAGCTTGCAGCAGAGTTGAAGGAGGCAGAGAAGAATGGCCAGCAGATCGATGCGGAAATGGAACAACCTGGAACTCCGACCAACATAGAACTCACGGAGGTGAAGCATCAGCTCAGCGAGTTCATGACCTATGCAGCCATGATGGAGAAGAGACAGATGCAACTTACAGAGCAGCTGAGCGCTGTATGTGGGGCAATGCAAGCAACAGGGATCTTGGGCTTGCGACCGGGGTCGCCACAGCAACCGATCCTGCCAAGAGAAAACGGTATGAGCCTAGCTGCAACGGGGGTCATCGAGGTTTCGGCGGAGGACAACGAGCGTACCAGATCGGAAAAAAGAGAGCGGCCATCCGAGAAAGAGGACCAGTATGCAGAATGGTTGCAGCAAGACATTGGATCGGACGAGGTGGCGCTACAGTTGGGACAGCTCAGCGATGCTTGCCAAACGGCAATTTTGAGCCAGATCGACAAGGCGCCTCTTCAGTACAAGTCCAGAGAACAATTTGGACATCTCGTCCAGACGATCCAGAAGGAAGAGAGCAACCAAGCAGAAGCCAATCAGAAGGGAATGGAACTTCCCAATGTCCTGCCTTTCCGGAAGATGGGGAGAGAGAGGAGAAGGGATGCCAATACGCCCTATCAGACCCCTCCGGCATCAAGGAGATCGACGGCGGGAGTGTCGCCGAATGCAGGGAAGCTCAACGGCCTGGACTCCTGAGGGCTGAGCTTGGGTATAATCATGGGTTTTGCGCCAATTTTCAAGGCTGCATCCATGAGCATGAGTGGTTTCTTTTCGGTTTTGAATCATGCGGAACAAACCTAGCCTTAGACGGTTTGGGAAGCATCGGCCTGGTCGGTGGAGACTTTAAAGCCGCTGGCCTTGGAATGGCATGGGTGCCATCCTCCTTGGGGACTTTGGGTTCCTTGAATGAGGTCTTCTATGGCCTCTCTTCTTTTGTTGACTATTTTCAAAGAAAGAACGTAGCTAATGCCTGTGACATCTCTTCCTGCTGCCTAGGTTTTGGAAATCTAGGCGCATTTCTTCCTGACTGGGTTGTTCACGGGGTTGCTGTACAGATCTTCTTTTTGATTTGGTCGACGATCATTACACGGGCCCTTCTTTTGGTGAGTGAAGGATTTCGAAACAATCGGAAATGCCATGTCAAGTTGCCAACACTTGACAATATTCGGATGATAGTAGTGATGATTGTGCTTAGTGCCCTCTGCAACGGAGCAATTCTCGAGTCTAGGCCTTGGGGAATGGCTGGAGTGACTGGAAATGATGTTGCTGTGGGTTTTCTTTGGGCACATGTTTTCATTATTCTCAGCCTTGCAGTTGTGAGCTGTCGACGACTAATTTGTGAAAAGAATCTCAAGCTACCGCCTGCTATCTTTGTTGGCAAGCGACGATTGGCCGTGAATACTAGCTCTGCTGCATCAATGCGGATGAGAGGACTACTGATCCTTGGGAACATTCTCTGCTCTCAGGCGATTCCTGTCCTTAACAATATAGATCCGGCTCCTGATTGGCATGCTCCTAGTCTGAGTGAGTCAGTCCCGGCCTACCAGAGCCCTGAGTCGGAAGAGTGTTCTAGGTGGTCCTCCTTGCCTTGTGGGACACCTAGCTGCTACAGTGGTTTTGACGACCGCAAAGAAGGCCAAGGCTTAGGAGAATCTGCTGACAATTTTGATGGAACTGAAGTGGGGGACAAGTCCCCCTCGGTCTCCGATTTTTGGGTTGCGCAGTCAATAGAACCTCCTTTTTGCCGGTTTGATTTGCCTAATTCTAGGCATGATCAAGATTTTGCCAAGCCAGATTTTGTGCCTACGGCTGTTGCGACCAAGCCGGAAAGCAAGTATGGCGACCCCTCTATCTCTGACTACTCAAGCCTCATGCAGCGCAGTGAATTCCGCTTCCTTCCTGACCCATTGCTAGGATATGTCTGGGGTGTCACTCAGGCAAGCACTTCGGTCGTTGTCACCTGGCTGCATACATGGGACAGGAGAAATTCATGGTCACATGTGAGGAAAGATGCTGTGATTAGTGGCAGAGAATTAGTTAGAGACCAAATCGTAAGGATCTGGCGCGACTATCAGGTTAGGCCTACAGTGACAATCATGCCGATTAGGCCCCAGCCTGATTTCGAACTGGCGCGCAGACCATCATTCCTTCTTTCGCCAGTATCGTTAGAAGCTTGGATTGGTTTCCTGGCTGTTGTGCGAACACCGCACCAGTATACTGTTGGAACCTTTCTGATGTATTCTAGAGGAATGCCGATGGTGCAAGAGGTCTTCCAAGTGACGATGCCGAATAACCAATGTGTGTGGACCACAAATTGCTGGATTGTGATGGATGGTCGAGTCTATGATTTCTGGTCATTTGTGCCCATTTTCGAAGGAGCGTACATACGTATTTTTGAAGTGGATCCAGCCCCTTCAAGTGAGGCAACGACCTGCTCTGCTGGGGCAGACTCCTCTGTCCTTTCAGATTCTTGGCCAGGCGATGATTCCAGCCAGTTCAGCAATGCATCAGACTGGACCCAAATGCAAGGGGATAACACTGCAACCCCTGAGGATGACAACGAAGAGGCTAGTAGCATTATGCAAATCTGGAGGAAAAATGCACAGCCTTTATCCTCTTTTTTGGTCGAGACTGAGTTACAATATCCATCATCAGATGCAGACGTGCTCCGAGATGCTTATCTTCGTGTTTTCGAGCAGCAAGGTGACCTGATCATTACGATCAAGTCATATCTGCATTGTTGGAGTGGCACGCCGGTTCGAACGTCAGTTCAAATCCGAGCCAGTGAAGGACAACATCTGACAAAGCAGGTTTTGGAAGCATGGAGGTGCTTAGGGAACCGTCATTTGAAAGCATTTTTCGTCTACCCTACTCCTAGAAGAGGACTAAGGAGAACGTCGATGCCGATTGTTCTCCTACGGGATGCTATGGATGACCATCTCTTGACAATTTACGTAGAAATGCACGCTATGCCGTTTACGACTGCAAGTGTGCAATTTGCGCCAGGCTCTACATTAAGGGATATTGTTCAACTTGTTCTCGGAAGGACAATAGCCCCAAATGAGCATTTCGTTGCTAGAGATATGGCGAAGCCAAGGTGGGTGATCGCACCCCTACATGAGGTCCGGACTCAGAATGGAGCATATCTGGTGGTCTATGTGAAGAGTCCTGAATCAGCCTGCCATTCTCATGATGGGATGTATGGGGATCAGGTCAACATGATGCAAACTACCATTACTGCAAAGAACTCGGTGGACTTTAGAGGGCTAGCTTTGGATAGCCCCCTCTTTGCTTTCTGGAGCGATTTTGCAGCATTTGCACGAGATAGTGGTGGGCCGACGGTCTCCATTGTCACGCATGGACTACGTGCCATCCATGTTGAGGCTAGAAAAATTGACTTGACAAGACGTATATGGCATAATGATGAAGAGCTTATCCGGAATCTCCGAGACCTTTGGCGTGATTATCTAGGACGTCAAGATGATCTTTCTGTTGTCACTGTTGTCCCAGCAGTAGAAGAAGCTGCCCTGAGAAGTGAGCTGCAGTTGTGGACCTCTGGCCTAGTCTTGGGGGTGTGCCTTTGCTCGTCCAATGGACTAATGCGATGACTAAGAATCGTCAGCTAATGTCCTTTCGAGGCAATGCCCGTCTATCCTTCGATGATGTTCTGCGCTACTGTGAAAGTCCTTGGGATCGAACAGATACAACTGTCTTCCTCTACCACACCTCTCGACGGCAGTACAACCGACACACATCCTTTGAGGTGCAGCCTGGGCAGAGATTGGATATCGATTATTGGGAAGGCAGATGTATCATCCAAGAGGACCATGCAGAGCTGGCCAGAGATAACACTGCAACTCCGGATGAACAGAAGGAACAACTTCAAGAGTCTCCCTCTGATGACCATAGTTTCGTACAGCTCAGCCTGCTTAGTCAGACGGAACTTGAGGAGCACAGACTGCCGTATGACGAGCCTAGATATGGTGTATTAATGATCAACCGGGCTATAGCAGCAGAGAATGATATCCTTCGTGCTT